CGGACCCTCCTGTGAGTGTGACATCATTTATGGACGACCCCAGAGTGGGTAGTTGGCGACATTAAAACGTTTTCTTTTTCGGTACCGCCAAAGTGTTGTTCGATATACTAGAATGGACCCGAGCGAGAATAGTCCCAATGGTATTCGAGAGGCCCATTAAATAGTTTAAAAACCATGCCCGGCATAGTTAAAATTAATATCGTTATAAAATCCTGCCTGTTTAGTTTTTTTTTGGACTTAACTAAACATTGGATGTATTTGATGTTTTAAATATTTTCGTTAACTAAATAAAAATAAAGCTGGAGTTTATATATATATATATATATATATATATATATATATATATATATATATATATATATATATATATATATATATATATATATATATATATATATATATTTTTTTTTTTTCCTCTTCCCTTTTTTTTTGTAATCTTTATCAGCGAGCCTCGACGTTGTCACAGAGGCGTCCGCTGTTACATAACTTTGTTCATCATTCGACATACGAGGGCTGGTGTAGGTTTACAATTTACAGCTATTCTGTTGTGTTTCTTACATAAATAATATACATACAGGGCCGGCGCTACCTATTAGGCGAACTAGGCGGCCGCCTAGGGCGCTGTCCGTAGGGGGCGCCAAAATGGGTTGGAAAAACAAATTGAAAGTTTGAGGAGGGGGTGCAAATCGAAAGTTTTAGGGGGGGGGGGGTGCACATCGAAAGATGTTACGGGGGCACGAAAAAAATTGCTGAGGGGGGGCGCTTTTAAAATTTTTTGCCTAGGTCGCTAAATAACCTGGCGCCGGCACTGTATACATATAAATACATAGTGTATGGATGTTTGGGGAGCCTTTAATTACATTTACTGGAGCAAGTTGTTCTACCTGAAAGAAAACGAAGGCACAGTGAGATCGGGTTTTTAGGGGAGAGTGTGGGGCGGTAGGGAGGAGGGAATACACAAAAAGGCTGTCTGTGTAAAATGTTGGTCTGGTTCAGGTAGGGGTTGGGATTCCCTGAAATAGAGCATGTATTTTAGAAGGGGGGACAATGATTATAATGTACAGTTTTATTTTTTTTAAAGAAGAAGTATCATTCACCCTGTACAGGTACACCTACCACAGTCCTCTTTATATATATATATATATATATATATATATATATATATATATATATATATATATATATATATATATATATATATATTTAAATTTGACAATCAACAAAATATAAATACTTACAAAAGTTCAAGTTAGGCGTCACAGAAAACAGAGAGAAACGTAGAGAATGTGATAAATGGTATAAAAGGATAAATGGGTAAATAAAGGGAGACAGTCATGGCTTACTGCATGACTGCTCTACAATTACTTGATGGCTTCCCCTTTCGGGAACAAAGCAGCTAGATTATATATGACGAGCCGACCCGCAGCGTATCATACGCCGCTATTTAGTTGTTTTATTTTCTACTTTTCAGTAATTCATAATTTGTAAATTCGACAGTACCAATGCTGCCACTGAAAATATTTGCTTTAAAACACTACCCCCCCCCCCCCCCACTTTCCCCCAACCCCGACCCTACCCCCCCCCCCCCCGTGAAAGCAGCCTCCTCTTAGTTATTTCTTAGTTACCTCCTTAAGTTTAAAATCGAACTAAATTATCTGCCCCTAATAGAAACCCGGCTGTACGGCTCTTCGATTTGTAAACATTTAGCTTTGTAAAAATTTAGAGTGAACACCGCTCACTAGACAATGTTGGGGTGGGGTGGGGGGTGGTAGTGATAGTGATAGAGAGAAAGAGAGGGGACTGCAAGGAGGCGCTTGCAGCTTGTTTTCTAACTGATCCCAGAAAAGAATTATATATATAGATTAGTTCTTTTTTTTTTTTTTTTTTTTTTTTTTTTTTTTTTTTTTTTAAATTTTCATATATATGTGTTGACGACAATGGCATTTGTTGTTTTGCGATTCATTAGTTCTTAAGATCTTAATGCATTAACAAAATAAAAGCAAATTGTGTGCTTATGTGGTTTGAGTACAGTTGAAGAACAAAAGAATGGGGCCGGACTTGGCTCGTTACCTGACCCTGCATTACATTTCTGTTTTTTTCTTCAAGAAGAGGGAGCACTTGGCAGTTGCATGACTACTTGGTATCTCTCTGATATGCATACTGTTGTAGTGCTTGTGGACTGTGGTATTGTGTCTATTGCTTGCAATTGCTGGGCAACAGTGTGTGTTACTTGAACCAGTGTTCGTTTCTTTATTGTTTCCCTTTCATTCTTGTATTTTTTTTTTTTACAATTTATTTTTTAAATAACTTGTAAGCAAATAAAATAAGAAATTCAAGATTCCTTCAAGCATAATAAACTAGTTTTCATTGTTTTTTTTCATTACATTTTATACATGTCTATACAAATTAAGCCGTGTTGACATTTTTATGTTTTCCCATTATACAAAACGTCTTAAATGCGGTTAAATAACAATTAATGCAGCGTTCAGTCCCTCTTTCTCCTCTATGTACAAAAGTTCCGAAGGGTGATTTAATACGTGCGTCTTAATGCCTTCTGCTGGGAGGGATATGTCGCAGAAGCAGCATTGGAGGACATTTTCATTGTTGTGTGCTTGATAGTGGTGCCATCTTATGTCAGTGAACTTTTTTGTCCTTGCAGATGTTACACTGTTTAAGTTTTGTATGTGCTGTGTTGTCATGACTTTTCGCTTCCTTGGCTGTTTTGAACTGGGTGGGGCAGAATTTGCATTTCGTGTGGTCGTGAATTTGATCCTTGGTTTTTTGTTCTTTTGTTGTTTTCCTTTGTTCTTTAGGGCTGTGCTCGTTCTTCCTTTTTGATGAGGTGGTGTTTATTCCTGTTTCTGAGCTTGTTGTAGTGGTGGGAGTTGGTGTAGCTGAATCTTGCTTTAGTGTCCTGGTATTTGCTGTTGTCGTTTCCTCGACAGTGACTTTTTCTTTGTTGAGGCCAGCTGGTGGTAGGGTGTTTCTGCCACAGCTTGTCGGCAGATTTGCTGTATTTTCGGTTGTTGGTGGGACCAGAATTTCCTATCGTGGCGAGTCTTGATTAGGTGACACTGATTTGTCCAGTGTTGTGTGGATGCGCATGTTTGGCATGTTTGTTTTCTTCCTGTGATGGCTATGAGAATGTTAATAGATTTGTTTTTTGTAGTTGAACTTGATGTAGTGAGGGATGGTTGACGGGTTATCTGTGAAGATGGTAAAGCTTCGATTGTTGGTGTGCGGAATTTTTTGGACTGATGGTTCTGTTTTGCTAATCATTCTTAGTGCTTTGAGCAGGGTGTCGTTTTCGAGTGCCGGAGGAACCCATCTGAATGTACCGTTGATTTTGTCCTTATGGTAGATTGTAAAGTGTAGTGAGTAAGGTCCGTACTGTTTGGTTGTGTTGTCCAGTTCTGCCACGTTAAAGCTTTCGGACGAGAAGAACCATGTGTCACCTCGTCCGTAGTTCAATAGCAAGATTTGGTGTGGGCTGATGAGTTGGCGGATGATGTGTCCACGTAGATTGGCATGACCATTAGCTTGAATGTATTTGGTGATGGTTGACTCGAAAAAAGGCCAGGGCTTTCTTCTTCAGGCAATTCAATTTTGAGTGTTGTTGACCTCGCTGCGTCTGAAAAGGGTTGGACCAAGGATTTCATTAAGTACGGTTCGCGTGGCTCCTCTCCGGGTCTCTCGACTTAGAGGGAACAGGAATGGGCAACAGTTGCATAGTCCATAGAGATCAGTACAGGAGTAGTAAAAAGCAGAAATCTTTAGTAAAAGGCGAAAGATTTACTCGCTGTGAAAAGAAACCAGATTTCATTGTGGTGAAACATTTACAAGAGGTAGGCTAAAACCAATGCCTTTCGATCTTATATAGTTATTTAAATAGTAATGTATACAATTTGTTCTCCTTTTTAGTGAATTATTCCATAAAAGCTTGTTATTAAGACGTTTTTTATGATTTTGTTATGACATTTTTTTAGTATTTTTACACTAGAGTTGCTTGACTAAAAACCATTGCGCACCTATTGAACGTGACGACGCGTGTACAATAGCGCAGAATAGTTGGGTAATACTGCCTACTAATTTAGACACAATTTTAATTAATTCATAAAAAAATTAATTAGGCAACCAATTAAGTCAAATGGAATGTCATGTTGCATTGTCTTTATGTCTTGACCCACGTACCAAATATAAACCCTATATGTCAGTTAGAAGTGCCTGCAATTTCGCTTGGGCGTTTCGATCTAGACAGACTGACGACAGACTGACGACTGACGACAGCGAAAGTAAGTTAAATAAAAGCTTATAAAAAAGATCATGAACCATTTGATTCTTCTTAAAGATTTATAATTCTTTTTGTTTTATTTTCAGGTTTGTATTTTACCAACTGCACCACAGAAAAACACCATTTATTACTATTGAAATGTAAAGGTGAGCGGACCAAAGTTGTAAAAGATTTTTTGGAGTTTTTTCTAAAAAGTTTTGAATCAAATTCTACCGACTCCGAGAGGGTTGCAGTTACTTGTATGACGGATCACGAAGATAACTGTTTTAAAGGATGTGAGGGGATATTACCTAACTACACGTTTCCCTTTAAGATTTCATGTTTGCCATCTAAGAAAAGAAAACAAGCGATTGATCTCCTCAGAGAAGCTAAAACAATCTCCGTTCTAATCAGACCATTGAACAAGAACTGCTTTAATGACAATTTTATGGCTCACATTCTTATCTTATCTGAACACGTATTTGTTCTAGGCAATTACAACTTTGATGGTCGACCACAAGTATTTGCTCAAAGCGTAACAGCGATAGACTTGAAAACCTCAACACGTCTACCCTATACCCTCATATGTACTGAATGCAGACCCGGCTGGACTTCGTTTGTAGATTCCAGGACAAATACAGTTTCATCCTGTTATTTTGTTCATCGTTTGAATTATACAGAGGTCGATATGAAAGAAGCTGGCGAACAATGTAAAAATATGGGAGCTAACATGGTAACCATAGAAACAGAAGAAGAGTTCCAGTTTGTACAAGACCTTCTAAAGAAAACCTTGAATGTCTCAGGTCCAGAGACTTGGTGTAGACAACAAAACAACAGCGTGTGCCTGGCCTTGAACCTAACTCGACATGGGGGACGTTTTAGGTGGGGTCAAGGTCGACCACTGGCTATATCTCCGATTTGGTCACCAAATCTTGAAGAAAGTGGAGATTGTGTCACGTGGGTTTTATCACGCTTTGAAACGGGAGACAATGGAATATGGCGTCAAGTTGATTGTAATAGCACACATCGATATGTTGTTATCTGTGAGCTGGAAACATTTAAAAAACGTAACCCAGACTACATAACGATGGGGAATGAATTTGTTAAGCACAACAACGATGTCGTATCCCTTGCATCTTATTTTGATGACAAACACTTAATCGATTGGATTTATGGAAAATTTGTAAATGATTTGCGTTTTAGCTGTGGCGATGAATCCTCCAAATATATAGCTTATTCCTTTGTTTGTGACAACAAACACGACTGCCCTAATGGTAGAGACGAAGCCTGTTCAAAAAGTAACACATACACACAAAGTTTCTATAATTCAAATTATATAAGCAGCATCACAGCTATTAAGCAAAACACAAACCAATGTTGTATAGCGAAAAGTGAGACTCTTTTCTATCTAATCCACCTATTACTTGAGTTGTGTATCTCAAAATCAGAAGATCTAGAGTTTTTCGACAAAACAATAAACATTACAAGTATTGTACCAGAAAACTGTACGCTGACTTCACTATGGCCTGATATACTGCCATGCAGTATGGGTCATGTTTCTGTTGAAACAATAGGATCTAACCAAACTATGACATGCGAGATGGCTCCAATATGTTTGTATGTCAAATCATTTGATGGTGACGTCATCGGATGCTATGATATGATCCATCTACAGAACTGTACGACATACGCATGTCCATCTGGCTACTCTAAATGCCCACTGTCTTATTGTATCCCAGAGACTTACGTCAATGACGGGACACAGGATTGTCCACAGGGAGAAGATGAAAACAATCTGATGTTGAAGTGTTTCAATACGTCACAGTATGTTTTCCTAGAGAAAGTTTGTGATGGTTTCAAAGATTGTCCTAGAGGTGATGATGAGATAAATTGTCATATTGAATGTCCTAATGGAGCTTATTGTACGGCGGGGGTTGCCATTTTTCATACATTATTCTCTCAATTTAACAACACAAAAGAAGTTACACTCGTTATTGGTAGTTCTATTCGCCAAATTGTGTTTTTATTTCAAAATCAGAATACGTTAATATTTAAGATGCATAATTCTTCAAAACTGACAAAAGTATCTTGTAAAGAAATGGGACTAAAATCAGATAATCTTAGTTTCTTTGTTATCTATGAGAAAAATATTATATTGTATGCCTACTTTAGTTTTAATTTGTTTAAAGAAATAACACCCCTTGGAAGTTTTTCTAAAATGAAAAAACTTAAAACACTTGATCTGTCATACAACAAAGAACTAACTAATTTTAGTCTGTTTCTTCCTACTTTAGAGACTTTAGATTTGTCTTACACAAGTATTTCATATCTTGATAGAAAATTATTTCAGAACATGAGAAAACTTATAATTTTGAATTTGTCAGATACTAAATTGACGAACTTAAACTTTATCCCTGACGGTTTTACGCTAGAAACACTTGATATTAGCGGTACTAACATGCTAGGGATAGGATTGAATTATTTTAATAACCTGAACATTACAGGGGTTGTAAAAACATCCCAGTTTAAACTGTGTTGTCCACAGGTGCTTGGCCCAAACATACCCGTTGAGAAGTGTGAATCAAATGACAAAAGCATTTCTTCCTGTACACACCTAATCAGGGGTGTTAGCATGAGAATTATTCTGTGGGCGATAGGTCTTATGGCCTTGTTGGGGAATGTGTTTGCTCTAGCGTATAGGATGATATGGGATAGAAAGGTTTTACACACAGTCTACGGGCAGTCTGTGTCCAACCTCTGTATCTCAGACATGATCATGGGTTTCTATCTCATTGTTATTGGCGTGGCTGATGAGGTGTATCGGGACAATTATTTCGCCCATGAAGAAGAATGGCAATATGGGGTTGTCTGCCAAGTGGCCGGGTTTCTTTCAACCCTCTCCAGCGAGGTCACGACGTTCTTTATCTGTCTGATAACACTGGACAGATATCTGACACTCAGGTTCCAAACTGGCAAGTACCGGTTCACCACGAGGACAAAACGTGCCTCCATCATCCTCTCCTGGCTTCTTGGGTTCACTTTAGCTTTGGTGCCAGTACTGTGCTCTGAGTGGGGAATATTCACATCCAATTCCATGTGTTTGGCATTTCCATTAGACACTGCTGTAAGTGGCGGACGTTATTACGCTGTCGCACTTTTCTTAGGTTTAAATTTTGTTCTGTTTCTGTATATCATGGTCGGCCAAATTTTAATCTTGCGTTCTCTCTCGGCTAGAAGATATGTTTCTACTTTCAGTACCGTAAATAATTCAAGACGAATCCAGGACGTTCTCGTTGCTAGGCAACTGTCTCTTGTGGCCGTAACCAACTTCCTGGCCTGGGTTCCGGTTCAGATAATGGGGACACTTGCACTTGCTGGGATTGAACTCGACGATGACGTCTACGTGTGGACGGCTGTGTTTGTTTTACCCTTGAACTCGGCCTTGAACCCTTTAATATACTCTTTTCCAAGACTGTACAACCTGTTTCAGTCTCTGAAGAATTTTTGTTGTAAATAAAACTGCTCAGTCATTTCTAACCTGAGGCTAGTTAAATATGTTACAGTCATAGACACGCTTTTGTCCTGTTAGTAGACTGCCTTACCAAATTTTAAATTAATTATTTAATCATTTCCTAATTTAGTAATTTAACCTATTTCATCGCAAAGTATATCACAAGACAAAAAATCACACAAAGTTTTCCCTAACTCATTTCGAGCGAGATATAATCGTGCTTTAACAACGTTTATATCTCCTTTATACCTCTTTTAAAGATAAATACCGTTGTTTTCAACTATTTATACTGCCTAGTTTAGCTTAGGTTTTTCCAAAAATACATTTGACAATTTAAGCGATTAATTAATTAGTGATTGGCTGTTATGTAGAGTGCTTTTTTCCCGCCTCATACATGTAATTTACAGCGTCAGTTTGCCTTGCATGTTCGCTTTAGTATTACAATTTTTATCATCGGCTTGCGAGGACTGATCCAGATTTACAATAGTAATAATACCTTTCTTACTTGTAGCCTACTTTCATTCCTTTAAGATGGTTTACTTATGTCATGTCATGTTTGCCTGTCGTCCCTACTGGGACATAGGCCGCTGACAAGAGCTTTCCAGACGTCTCTGTCCAGGGCTAGTCTCTCCAACTGTCCCCAGGTGTATCCAATTTTCTTGGTGTCTTCTTCCAGGTCACGTCTCCAGGTCTGTCTTGGTCTGCCTCTCCTCCTCCTGCCTTGTGGATTCCAGGTGAGGGCCTGTCTTGTTATGCTGGATACAGGCTTCCTGAGTGTGTGGCCAATCCATTTCCATTTTCTCTAATGGATCAATGCTTCAACTGGCAGTTGATTTGTCCGTTATCATAGAACATCATTTCTGATGGTTTTAGGCCAGCGAATTCGCAGGATCTTTCTGATGCATGCGTTTATAAATGATTGTATTTTCTTCTTATTTATAGCAGTTATTCTCCATGTCTCGGCTCCATAGAGTAAAACAGGTTTTACTAGTGTGTTGAAGATCCGGATTTTTATTGCAAGGGTTAAATCTCCAGAACCCCAAACATTTTTAGTTGGTTGAAGACTGCTCTTGCCTTGCCCGTCCTTATTTTTATGTCTGCTTCTGTCCCACCCTGCTTATCAACAATACTTCCAAAGTAGGTGAATCTATCCACTTCTTCTAGGGTTTCCTCTGCCAGTGTTATAGGGTTGCTGTTTGATGCATTGACTTTGAGATCTTTACTTTTCCCTCTGTGGATGTTCAGGCCCAGGCATGTAGAAAAATTAGCAACCCTGTTGGTTTTATCCTGCATTTGCTGTTGTGTGTGAGAAAGAAGGGCCAGGTCGTCAGCAAAGTCCAGGTCATCCAGCTGGCTCCACAGTGTCCACTGTATACCGTTTCGCGTTTTCCCTGTTGACATCTTCATAACACAGTCTATGGCCAGCAGAAACAGGAATGGTGAAAGTATGCAACCCTGCCTTACTCCTGTCCGTACTGGGAAGGCCTCTGTAGTCTGTTGGCCACGCACTACTCTACATTTGAGACCTTCATATGAAGACGTAATAATGTTGACTATTTTCTGTGGCACCCCGTAGTGTCTCAACAATTTCCTCATTGATTGCCTATCCAGGCTATCAAAGGCCTTCTCATAGTCATGAAATTAATATAGAGAGATGCGTTCCACTCTTGGGTCTGTTCAATGACGATTCGCTGGGTAGCAATTTGGTCTATGCATGACCTATCCTTCCTAAAGCCCACCTGTTGATCTCGAAGCTGGGGGTATATCACTTCCTTCATTCTGTTTAATAATATTCTGTTGAAGACTTTGCCTGGGATGGACAAAAGTGTTATCCCTCTATAGTTAGAGCATGCACTAAGATCGCCTTTCTATGGAGGCTTTATGAGTAGTTTCTACTTCCACTCCTCTGGTATTTGTTCATCTTCCCAGATTTTCTTGAAGAGTGTGTATAGTAGTGTGGTGCTAGTTTCTATATCTGCTGTCAGTGCTTCTGCCGGTACACCATCTATTCCTGGAGCCTTCCAATTTTTCAGCTGCTTTATAGCTTTATGTATCTCTTCTTTTGAAGGTGGGTTGCAGTCTATAGGGAGGTCACAGCTGGTGGTATATCTTGCGTGCGCTCTAGTGATGGTCTATTCAGTAGTTCTTCAAAATGTTCTGCCCATCTCTTCATCTGTCCTTCCGCATCAGGTATTGTCTTTCCATCTTTGGTTTTTACTGGCCTCTCTGGCTTACTGTACTTACCAGATATCTTCTTAATTGTATTGTACACGTCCCTAATATTACCATGGTACAGTGCTTTTCCGATTCTCTTGCCAGCAGTTCCAAATAACTCCGTTTGTCTTTCCTTATGTGTTTCTTGACATTTTGTTCGTTTCGGTGTATTCTTCCAGTGCTTTTAATTTATTAGCCCGTGTGCGGCTGTTGTTTAATGTTGCCTTCTTTCTTTTTCTCTCTTCAATAATTTTCATGGTATCTGCTGATATCCATTCCTTCGCTTGTCTTTTGATAAGGCCTAGCACTTCTTCGCATGTTGATGTTAATATGCTTTTAGTTTTTTCCACGTTTCCTCTATCGTCTCCTCTATACATAGATCTAATACTTATACATAGATCTAACACAAAACGTCTAATTACAATAATATTTTATAAAAAACACCTGAAAATGCAAATGTGTAATTAAATGATGATTCAACGGATTTTTTTTTCCATCGGCGTGGTTGGCTGAAGGGGTTAGAGCTGAAATAAATTTGGGATTACAGAGAATTAAAATGATACAAATTTTAAGCAACCGGAAACGTAATGTTATCACAATGAGACACATCCAATCAAGCATTCTTCCCTTTCAAACATCTATATCTATAGTAGTCCTCACACATTTTAATTTTTTTTTTTGTTTTAAACATTTAAAATAGTAATAGTAATTTATTTGATGGTTTTACACAGCTTCAAAGACATGAACATTAATTGCATATATAGTAATTAAATGGAAAAAATATAATGGCATAAGAATTAGACTAAAATAAGGTGTGCAACTGGGTTTTTCTTGACTGCTTAGTTTACTGTGCTCCATCCTCGGCTGCAAGGTCAAAAGTTCACATTGTAGCCACCCATGGACAAAAATAGAAAAGACCGTGGGAGAAGGGTCTCTGTAAAACTCATACTGACCTATCATTCCAAAATTGTCCATGACACAAAATTGAACCCTGGTTATGTGGAGTACTTAATGTTAAATCTAAAAAGAAACTTTAATTTTGTGGAGAACTAACCTATTTTTGCAAAGATATAATACAAAATGTAATTAGAATCACATAGGCATTCTTGATAATTTATTTCAAAGATTATAATCAATTAATTTTTCAATTAAATTTTTACAGTTTTTTAGGATACAGCTTTTAAATTACTAACCATATTCCGCACTATTACGCACAGATTGTTTGGCGCTTACTTGGTGCGCAATTTTTTTTCTACGAGATTCATTTTTACAAGCTTTTATTTAACTCACTTCCTCTGACGACAGTCTGTCGACATTCTGTCGACAGACTGTCGACAACTAAATAGCGGCGTATGATATGCAGCGGGTCGGCTCGTACATATATAATGATTCAGAAATAGATTTAAATAAGTTACAGCGGTATTATGACAGTAAATTTTTTTTTACAGAGGGGTCCATGGGGGAGGGATGTTTATAACCTTTCTAACTCCCCCTCTCCCTGAATACGCCAGTGCGCAGAAGAGTCGCACATTTTACTTACTATGATAATTAATGGGACTGAAATCTTCCAATAGAAGAAAATGCTTTGTTTAACTTTTCTTATAATATTGTTGCAATATTTAAGTTAACAAAACAATAAGCTTTAATCGTAATAAATATATCATATTTATAATGATGAGATCTAAACTTTATTGGGTATGTTACTAAATTTTGATGACGAAATGTTAGTACAAGGTTAAAACTGTAACTCTCACACAATTTAATGCTACGTAGTTTCATAATCTTTTTTATTACATCGCCCGGCTGTCATTGAACATTTCGGTCTCTTGTAAACCAATAGCTTAACATAACAAGAAAAGACTTTATAGCATATATGTTCAATTTATGCAATTTATGTAGTTACAAATGAGGATAACTTTAACGTTTATCGCTCGCAGTGAGTGTTAAACCGTTGTTTTGCTTTTTTAAAAGTCAAATGTTTTGAATTTTTATGAAATCAATAGCTTAACATAACAAGAAAAGACCTTATAGCATATATGTTCAATTTATGCAGTTACAAATGAGGATAACTTTAACGTTTATCGCTCGCAGCGAGTGTTAAACCGTTGTTTTGCTTTTTTAAAAGTCAAATGTTTTGAATTTTTATGAAACCATTAACATTTTATTTCCTTCATTAAAGTTTGTGTTTCGTAAAATAAAAAGCTTAATATATGATTTAATTATAACTTAAACTAGCCGTCCCGGCCAGGCCCTGCTCTGGCTTCTGTGAAAAACCTTTCTGTTAAAGACCATTACCTGTGTGTTTAGTAATCATCATAAACCCGGCATTGCCCACCCAAACCACAACCAACCAAAACAACAAAACGCAAACATAACGCTAACACAATTACAAATACAAACGAAAACAAAAACCTAACAACAAACCCAACCACAACCACAAACACCAATACAAACACAAAGAAAAAACAAACAAAAAAGCAAACGAAAACAAAAACCTAACAACAAACCCAACCACAAACACCAATACCAACTAAAAAAAAACAACAACGAAAAAGCAAACGAAAACAAACCAAATCCAAACGCAAAACCAACCAAATACACAAATACAAACCCAAACAAAAAAACACAAACAAAAACGAAAAAAGAAAGAACAAAAACGAACCAAATCAAAACGCAACCACTAACGCAAACCCACCTAAACACAAAGAAAACACTAACGCGAACATAAACGCCCGGGGCGGAATCACCTGTTTCAGCTTAATGAACGACTATAGTACCCCAACTTATTCATA